TACAGCATGTCCATGTGCGAAGAGAGAGAGCTTATAAGGATAATACATATATATATCGAACAGAGATCGCAACACAAAGGCGCATTGTGATGCACCGCGATATTACCATATCATCGAACGCTGTACCTAGAAGCCTATAATGCCTTTTTAATGTCGTTTATGGCGAGACTATATTCTTGCTACTATACGCTGAACTATTTTACAATACAAAGCTGATCACAGGTATATATAGCTAGCAGTTACGATATTCAATGTTTCTGCGTTAGCGATTATCGAAACGTACACAATGCAAAATTAGTTTTAATAAATGATGAAGTACGAGAGACCCCATCACTCACATATGTAACAACTACCAGTAGGCTCGTGAACTATTACGCGATAAATCAGATAACCGATTAAATTTTAATATGTACGGAGAGAAACCGCATTGTCAAAAAAAAAAAAAAATGGTTTGTTAGCGTATCCGTCCACACGTTCGGATTCTCAGACTACTTCCGCTTAATGATCGTCTGTACTCTACGTTTCAATTTTGTGCACTCTCTTTATACTTCGTTAATATTGCGCATCGATTAGAGCCGCGGAAATCGTCGGAAATTTCTACGGAAACTCGTAAACGGTTTTACCTGGCGCAGCTGCCGATTCGCATTTACGAACTGGATTATATACATTGGACGCGTAACGCGCGCACGGTCGCTTTAGTGGCACTAAAATCCCGGGGAGCTGGCTTACACACATCGCACTCGAGCGGCAAGGCGCGCATTCTGCGCCGCGGAGATCACGAAATAGGTACCTCTCGGTTAGGGTCTCAGCTCTCTTTCTCTTTCTCTCTCTCTTTCTCTGTGAGGCGTCCCGAATGCAATTAAAAAACGAAAGCGCGTTATATTCTCAATTGAGAATAACGCGGTGGTAAGTGCTCTCTCTCGCTCGGAGAATGTAAATCACGCGGATTCTTTTATACGCGCCGTCGTTTTTTTTCTTTAGCATCATCTTTTTATTCGCGGAATAAGGTTTCTGTACGTCTCTTTACGTTTTAAATTAAACTACGTATAAAAGAAAATAATGTATTTCTTGTTTTTTTTATGCATCATCAGAATAAAATAACAGAAGCTTTATTTCTCTTTTTTTTTCAAAATAGATTTACCGAAGAGTTGCATAGTTATTTATTTTTCTGTCGGTTTATATTGCGAGTAACAAATAATCTATCAAATAAATAATCAACCAATATATCAATTAATGTTTGTACAGAAATAATATGTAAAAACAAAATCGCGATAGAGAGAGAGAGAGAGAGAGAAAATGTCGAGAAGGAAAACGTAACGAAAGTAAAATATGAGATGTAACGAACGTAAAATATGACGCGACTATAGCGCAAAAGACACATTATATTCTCCGTTGAACTCCGCGCAGTTTTGATTGGGTGATAATAAATTGGTAGTGCGCTATGCAAATCTTTCCAAATGTACATTTCTCCACGTTTGCGCTTAATCAGTTTCTCAATCCGTCAATACATCCCCGCTGTATTCAATTCATATTTCAAGTAGTCGCAGATTAAATTTGCAGAGCTGTAATGTGTAAAATTACTTTACGCGGATATACAAATGTCATTTGTTTTCCTATTAGTATTACTTCGCAACATGTAATTGTTTACTAATTATTGTGCGACGCGCGTTGGGGTAAACCGTAAATATATTACACAAATTAATAAAGATCTATTTATTAGCTTTAACGAGTTTTCTATGTTTAGTGTTATATAATATAAATAACATTTCCTGCTTAGGTACTATTGTTCAAACATTGGTAATGTAATATATAACAGCAAGTGTTGTGATTTAATAATTAATTAAAAGATTGAATTGTGCGTGCGTGCGTGAATGCGTGCGTGTGGAATTCAATTTATATGCGCAGTGTATATTAATTAAGTATATATGATTTTCAACAAATTGTATCCGCGTTTCAAGAATGACAAACAACGATATCATTTGCAATCGTTTTAATATAGGTAAAAACGATTTGGCTCGTATCGTATCTATTATCGTCGATTCTTATGGACTTGTTCATTTAATTAAGGCGCGATCTATGAAATCTAAACGGGATAAAGATAGACAGCGCCGAAGACATTTAATCCACTCTTCCGTTAACCCACCGAGCGCTTCTCCCGCATAATCGAATCAATAACGGACGGGTAATTTTCTTTGCCGGCCAGAACAAATCAGATCAGTCATAAAGTTCCGGCTTTAAAAATGTGTAGTAATGAAATCTCGCTTTATCGTTTGAGCTTTGTGGATGCAATATTGAATGTGAAGTTCATATAACGATTCATATTTTACGTAAGAGAAAAGGAGATTTGATTGTTATCTTTATATTAATTCGAAAAATCCTTTGTTATTCCGACTTGAGCTCTTGTTTCCTGTTATTCTTCTTTTTCGATTCTTTTATTTTAAGATTTCTTTCTCTCTCTCTCTCTCTCTCTCTCTCTCATCGTCATATTTTACTCTAACAATGTCTCACTGCCATCTTGCGCTCAGTCTTTGTGTGTGAACGTTCGTGTCTCGTCTCTTCTTGACTGCTTGCAAGGATTATTACGAAATTGCACGAAGCAAGAACGAATGGGTTCTCAATTTCCGCGATTTCGCGAAAGTGTATACGACAGGCGACAGTCTGCTTTTAGCTAGGTGTCTGAACAAGAGCCGAGAAGCCGAGCTTCTCGCGGCTGTGTAAAATCGTATATACTTCCTTCCTTCCGCCTCTCCACGCAACTTTGTTCGTATTGGGTATCCGAGCTTTCGACAGTCACGAAGAAAATCAGGGATTGACCTCGGCGGACTTCTTCTTCGAGATCGTAACAAAGCGCCGTTACGCGCTCACCGAGAAAACACGCCGGTCGTTTTCCACGGATTCGAGAGCTCCCACGCAAACGACTTTTCAGGGTTACAAGAGACAAACTATGACTGTTATAGTGAAGTCGATAAGTTTACGAATGTCTCTTGGCCGTATCCTACAAATTTTTTGAGGGTAACAACGCGTGCTATATTTCATTAATTATACACACAAGAGAAAGAGGTGAAATTAACTCATTATATTCTTTCGCGCGATCGGATCCCCTTCACGCATCCTTCCCCCCCTTCTCCCCCCGCACCACTTGAACAATCGCACGATGTACAAAATAATTCATAAAGTCCTTTCCTACGAGGAAATGACACAAGGATAAAAATAATACAGCCGGGATACCCTGTCCACAACTTCCCCAATGTTCTGTCGTTCGTTGTGGCGAAGCCACCTGCTCACCATTACGGCATAATTGTACCTTTTGTGTTTCAAGTATCCATAAAATTTCTGAGTGCTTCGCAACCCCGAGCAAAACCTTCGCGCGCGACTGCGAAGCGTGTGAAATAAAGGGTCAAAAGGTTACCCGGCTGCAACTTTATCTCGCGCCTCTTTGTTCTTTTGTGGCCGGGGTTCTCTTTCTGAATTCTCCAGAATTTTTTCTCTTTTAATCGATCTTCACCGTGGGGGTTGAAAAGCCGGCGGTACGAGCATTCGTTTATACGCGAATACTTTGAATTACAAATTAATTAGTATAAAAAAATCTCAACTTGTATTATTCCGTTAAGAGAGAGAGAGAGAGAGAAATGAAAGAACATTGTTCGTTTTATGCGACGATTTCTCTTTTTTTACACCAAATTTTAATTGCTGTGTATTTTCGCTTTCTTGCGTGTCGTGCTCGATCTCAAGTATTTTGTGATCGCAGTGTATTTGCTTTCGCGTGACATGTTCAATTATTTCCCATTCTTGGTCCGAGAATGTTTCATTGTTTCGCGTAACGAGACCTTTGTGATACTTGAACGCAAATATCATTTGATATTAATTCAATAGCAGTCTATGCCCAATCGCGTATGCATTATTATTTCACGAGTGTGTACTTTAGAATCGAGATATATAACACATATATGTACGTGTTACGTGATACGTGAAAATAAATCTGCTGCTTAATGCTATCAAATATTTGTAGCGAATAATGTCGTAATAAAGGAGAGTGGCATTAAAATTAGAAGCGTTTGTTGCTGTTATCGGAGAATATGGGTGTGGCACAAGCAATACGTTCCGTTTCGCACGGGGAATACGCTTCAAAAAAAAATTTTGATCAATATTTTAATCTAAAGTCTATAATACATTTAAATATATTTACGTAAAAAAAAAAAATAAATAAATAAACACTGACGCATTTTGAAACGTGCGCCAAATATAAAATCGAGATTCCAAAGCAACGAAATTATATTTCAATAATTAAATATGCTTTTTATTGCTCGTTCTCTCTCTCCCAATTTTTATACATTTTGCCGGGTAACAACATAGCATGAAATATATAACACAACCAACATGTAATGCAGTTACAAAGGAAAAACTAATGCGCAATCTTATTTGCGAGAGGAAAAACATGAACTCGCTTGTTCAACTCGTTGCAAAAAATATAAACAACGGACATAGAACGCGTGTTGGAATACTTGAATTATTCAATGCTTTTCATAGCGCAAATGAACGTATGTATGAAACAACTTTACAGTTGAGCCTGAAGTGGAAACATAAAATGATCACTGAACCTCATATATAATTTATTTGAAATTGCGCAACGTACTCGCGCGTGTTTTTTCACGCTTTTCAACGCGAACCTCGCGTTATCATGAGAATCCCATTACGATCGCGCCATTCAAACTGGGATGATGGCGGCTTACGCGAAAATCTTGTTGAGATTGTATCTTGGAAAACATAGATCGAATTTTTTATCCGCGCCTCCTGTGTGTGCACTCTTAAATCTCTCGCTTAAAAAGGCTAATTGATATGTGTCTACTGTAGTACAGTACACTGTATCATATAATGCAAACAAAACAAACAAAAAGCAAACGTTTTCTTGTATCATCGACATTTAGAAAACTGAAATATTTTTACAACTCACAATTTAGACGAGGAATAATTAATTCAAAACAAAAATTACGTAATTTCAGAGGAAATCATCGCCAATTTGCCTCCCTTGAGAATTCCGCGATTGAGGCATCACCGTGTCACAGATTGGGATCCGTATTTCGAAAACGCAGACGGCCAGGGTATCAATGGGTCGCAACATGTGGCGTTGCATCTCGGCGCGACTGCCTTTCTCGACTGTCGCGTCGCCATGCTTTCTGGAAAGAAGGTACATACGCGTATCTCTTATATACTTTTATATTATAATGGAGTTAATAATTTATTTATTTATTTATTTATATTTATTAATTGATTAATTTATATTTAGAGATAATTATAAGATCATTTAACAATCCTATAATATTCTATAAATGATAATAAGGATCTTTTAATATACTTGAACTGATTAAACACCAAAACGTCTTCAGGTCATGTGGCTACGACGGAACACTGACTGGGCGTCTCTCTTAACTCTCGGCAACACCACCCACATATCGGATTCAAGATACAGCGTGAGCTTTCAATATCCAAACAATTGGAGATTGGCGATCTCCGGTGTGCGCAGAGAAGATCACGGAGTGTACGTTTGTCAAGTGAACACGCATCCGCCGAGAATGCTGATTACGAACGTCACCGTTCTCGGTAACGTATTCACGTATAGTAGTTGTTCTCAACGAGAAAACAAAAGATGTTAATAATGCGATAAGAAAAATTATATCATGAAATTTTTTGACATTCCACAGTGCGAGAGAAGATTGTTTTGTTTTTTATTTATTTTGAGATTATATATTTTTTTTTTGCGTAACGTCAGTTGAAATTTTAGATATGCTCTTTGTGGATATATTTTTGAGTGATATATTACGAAACGTTACACATAATCCGGTAACCGCGAGATGCATTGCGTTGCCTTCTCTATTTCGAAGCTAAATCCGCGAGCGCGCGTCATAGAATGTTGGCCTGAACATTCTCCTGAAAACGAGACAGTTGCAGAATTTAAATTCTGCTCTCGCGACGATTCAATTACCGTGAGAAAATCTTGCAGCAACTCCCTCGGAAACGAGTCAACGGGCATTTGTATCACGTAGGGTGATCCGCTGCAATAGTAACGACGCGACTTTATTTCATTCTCCACTATGCTCTCTTTCTCTCGTTCTCTCTTTCCTTCGTATCGGCAAAATACGCTTGCGTGTATCAATGTCACTACGGCGCTACTCGCAGTAACTTTCGGAAATTGCGCTCTTAATTGCGAAATACTTATAATCATTACGTAAATGAAGAAAGGAACAAAAAAAAAAAAAAAAAACGCGGAAGCAAACGACGCAACGAGATTTTTCTTGGAAATGTGTTTTCTTCGCGCGGCACTCGACAAGATTTATGATTCCTGAGATCATAGCGAATTGCGAATGAATCTTTGTCCAAGTAACACGTTCTATTGTTGATACTTAAATTACGAGTTTATTCAGGAAAAAATTCCGAAGAAAGAGAGAAAGCGGAAAACGAAAAAAAAAAAAAAACTAAAAGAAGAATAAGTTTTTATCTCATCACGTAAATGCTGTTCGACATTACATCTATGTCTTCGCAGCACCGGATATTAGAATCGTCGACGAAGCCAGACACGAGTTACGGGACCGATACTACAAGACCGGAAGCGGGATCGACCTGACATGCGTTGTCCGGCCATCTTGTCCGGATTCGAGGGTACCGTATCCTGTTTGGCGGAAAAATGGCGAGACGTTGTTGGATCACGTCAACGTTTATCACATTAATGGGTGAGCATAAATCGTAAGTGGCGATGGATCGAAGAGAGCTTCCGGAGATAGATGTACGGCCGCGTCTACGATTTGCATGTGCAGATGTATGTATATACTATATATATACTATATATATGTATATATATGTATATATATATGTACTATATATATGTACGGGTATTGTCTATACATATGTACAACGAGTTCCATGTCGCTCTTATCCTCTAGCTGCGCCAAGCGTTATCTTTCAAGCCCGGAGGGCTTACGCGCAGCGTTGACGAGCGACGGTGCGCTTTGTTGAAGGCAACTGCTGCAATTGGTCTTTCTCAAGAAAAGCGTTACGAGAGAGACGTACATTGGAAATTGATTTTTTGTTTGTTTTTCTTCAGCCAGATAAAATTGCAAATTTTGTTGTTTGTGCGCAACTTGTTATCCGTCACGAGCGACGGATATGTCGAATTCATCGGTTTCGATTTAAATTAGTATTCGTGAAAATTAATCGTCGACATACTGACGTTCAAATGTGTTTGGATGCGGCGTGAGTTATAAGCGCGAGAGTCGAAGAAACACACACACACACACACACACATGCAGTTTGTCTATCTTTCTATTTTTAATCTTGAATTCATTGGGCACTTTTCTAACAGAATATTTATGTACATATGTATCTGCGCATTTCCAATGCACATGACGTGCCTGAGCATTGTCACTCAATGCATCGAGGGTATTTTTTTTATCTCAAATGACATGTTTTTTAAATGCATTCTATCGCTTTTCCTTTATCATCGAAATTTAGCGCACAAAAGTTTATATTACGGGTATCGTATGCAAGCGTTGAGTATGCACATAACGATGCATCGTATAATACGATAAATGATTTTTTTTTTTCAGGTCAAACGAGGATGTAGTAACGAGACTGTATATCGAACGAGCGAAAAAGACTGACAGCGGAGAATATACGTGCTCAGTGAGCCAATTTAGCACGACCGCGGTGCACATTCACGTTCTAAATGGTAATTAAATAAATAAAAAAAAAAAAAAAAAAAAAAAAGAAACAAACGAAATAAACGAAACAAAAATTTATATTACACTTCCTCGTCGT